CCCATTTACAGGTCCACCACATATGAAAGAAAGGGTTGAGGAATCTCAAGCCTGTGGGCCAAATGTGGCCCTCCAGGCATCTCTGTCTGGCCCTTGGAACTGTGTCCAAGCCACACTCCCTCTATCAACCTCATACTATCAACCCTTCACATCCACTATCCTGGGAATCTTGGGAGCTGTAGTTTACCCCCACAGAGCTATAATTCTCAGCACCCTCAACTAACTACAGTTTCCATGATTCTTTGGGGAAAGGTTGTTGTTGTTGCTGCTGCTGCTGCTGCTGTTGCTGTTTCAATTTCTATCCCCACCCTTTCTCAAATGATCCCTGGATGGCATACAACATTGAAAACACATTACAGAATGTCAATGATAAAACAGAATGAAAAACAGAATGAAAAGCATACAGTGGTACCTCGGGTTACATACGCTTCAGGTTACAGACTCCACTAACACAGAAATAGTACTTCAGGTTAAGAACTTTGCTTCAGGATGAGAACAGAAATCGTGCTCTGGCGGCACAGTGGCAGCAGGAGGCCCCATTAGCTAAAGTGGTGCTTCAGGTTAAGAACAGTTTCAGGTTAAGAACGGACCTCCGGAATGAATTAAGTACTTAACCCGAGGTACCACTGTACTGACATGCACTTTCAAAGTACGGTGTGCATGTGAAGATCACCAACTTTCCTTGAACAAAATATGGAAAGTATGCCACAACCCTTTGGAGCTTCAACTATTTACGAAGTCCAAAAAAACTTACAAAGTTATAGGCATTAAAGGCTAAAACCACTGTGCTACTACTTCCTCCACACTATTAATTAGTTGTAAACATATTCATTTCAAAAAATCAAATTACAGAGATACTTGATTTAACAAATAAAACCCAGGGTTATTTGGGGGGGAAACAACATTATTTACGCAGTTCGCATCATTTTGCCACACAATGGCTTGCTTTGGGCTGTCTCTGCATAATAGCTGTGAATCCCTCTTCACAATGCACTTTAGAATGTTTGAGACAGTGGAAGAGAAAACAATAATTCTGGATGTCAATGCACATGTGCTATTACAGAGCAGATAAATGCCTGGGCATATGCATAAATAGCATGTCAGCAAGTCAATATTTGCTTCTGCCTCCAACTGGCGCTCTCACAATTGTTCTAAGGCGTTTCCCCCCTCATTAATTTCTTTCTCTGAGAGGGGAAAAGGAGAAAACACTGAGAATGCTTTCTTCGATGTTTGCACAGATGACCAGTGCTCAGTGCTCCTGAAAATCAATGTGCCAAAGAACCCACGCAAGTGCAGATGCTGACAGAGGCTAAACAAAGCAAACAGCAATATGGTCATGTATGCCTAGAGACTACGTTTTGACTGTGTGCAGGCATCAAATACAAAACAAAGCAGAATAATATAAAGCACCGCTACAGCATGTGTTATATCCTCTAACATTTCTCCTGTGGAAATAGGTACGTCCTAATAGGTACGCGGGTGGCGCTGTGGGTTAAACCACAGAGCCAAGACTTGCCAATCAGAAGGTCAGCTGTTCGAATCCCCGCAACGGGGTGAGCTCCCGTTGCTCGGTCCCTGCTCCTGCCAACCTAGCAGTTTGAAAGCACGTCAAAGTGCAAATAGATAAATAGGTTCCGCTCCGGCGGGAAGGTAAATGGCGTTTCCGTGCACTGCTCTGGTTCGCCAGAAGGGGCTTAGTCATGCTGGCCACATGACCTGGAAGCTGTACGCCGGCTCCCTCGGCCAATAAAGCGAGATGAGTGCCGCAACCCCAGAGTTGGCCATGACTGGACCTAATGGTCAGGGGTCCCCTTTACCCTTTAAGGAAAAGCAGAACATTCCAGGATAAAATCGGAAACCGGGACTGCTTCTGTAAATCTGGGACTGTCGTTGGAGAATAGGCAAACTTGGAGGGTCTACTTGCCTGCGAAAAGTCACCCAGGTTAAATTCCTGGCAGCTTGCGGTAGGAATGGAAACTGAAAACTTGGAGACGACAGTTAATGTACACAATGCTAAGCTCACTTGGTCTAAGGCAAATTGCTATGGGCAGTATCCAATGAAGTACTTCTGCTAGCACAGGATTTGCACTTGTGCAATGGAACCTCTTCCTTTCTTCTTCTGGTGCACCTCCATGTCCTCTCCAAATTTGACCCTGACACACAAGGAGAGGAAAAGGAGGGGAATTTTCACTGTGCAGCCACAAATCCTTGCACCAGCAGAAGTACTTGGTTGGATTCCACTTTCTATCTTTGAGTCATGATATGCATGTTTTCTAGTAACACCTGGAAGCTCTAATCACCTGGGGTCACTCTGACCACTTTGTTGCTTTTCATGCAAAACATATATGCCATGTTTGAAGGAAGGTTGCTGGCAAATCATCCATGCAAAACTATTCATTCTTTTATGTGCATCTCACTTAAATCTTTGGAGATTCTCCAGCTACTGTTCTGATACGAATGCATGATATACGCAGAGTCAATAATGTTGTTGCTTGAACTGTCTTTTGAAATTTAAAATAGAAATAGAAATTATCCAGCAAAAACGTACAGGGAAGGGTTGCAATAGGAGACAAACAATATAGCGCTTATGCAAATAATGCCACCATGTAGATCTTTCATTGAATATATAAAAATGTCACTGTATTGTTGGAAGGCAATTTCTCTGCTTTTCAAAGAGATTGAGATTGGCTCTGAGAATTTTGTCTAGAAAACTGGATAAAGGAGGCTGGAGACTTCCAAATATTGACATTGCATTTCAGCCTTGCCAATTATGCAATATTATCTGGGAAGCTAAAAAGTACTCAATTAAAATAGAGCATCTAATGTTGAATAAGAACCCTGTGGTCTTTACCATTTGAAGATACACCTACTTCTTTTCTTTAAAAAAACACCAAAAAAACAACCATAATCCATTTATGCTCTCCACATTTCAGTTTTGGCATAAATGGCAGCGGAGGCTATCACTAGTAGGTTCTCCTTTGATTCCTAGTGACAGGAGTCTTATTGATGGGCCAGAGAGCTGGGTCTCCCAGGCTGATTATAAAGCTCCCTCAGGCTCAGACAGGTACAGGAGGACCTCCAGGTAACATGGTCCCAGACCACTTAAGAAATTTAAAGGTGAAGTCCAGCACTTTAAACTGGGCTCAACAACAAATTGGCAGCCAATGTAAATAGAACATAATTGGTGCAATATCCTCTTATCATTTGAGCACTCTTGTTGCCATCTGGAGGAGCTAGCAAACAGCACAGATGTCATTGAAAGACCTTTGAAGAAGGCAGATATCTTCCTATCTCCTGCTTACAAGAATTTTTATCCAGCATTTGCAGCTAAATTTAGCATTTTCTCCAAAGCCTAATGCAACCCTCCTGTCTCTGCCAAAATCTTCGTACTAGAGCTTTGATGATCTGTTCAAATCAAGAGACAAGATGAAAGCCCCAGTTTGACTAGTTTCCTCGTTTTAAGTATGACGTCTCGGTTTTGTTTTTAGCCATAGGAACTGAGTGTATGCTGTATTATGTTTTTCATATCCCCCAAAACTTGGAAATGTACGTTTCCCCCTCTTAGTATGGTGGCTAAACTTTATTATTCGAAAAAATTGAAGGAGCAGAAATGGCCATCTAATCCAAAAATAGATGTGTCTATACACAGGTTTTCTTGTTGTTGTCTGCACAATGCCCACATATATTTGACCTTATTGAGCTATGTATACTTATTCATATAAGAAAATCAAAGTAATTGCTCTGCTAACCACACATATATCACATTTAAAACAGAGAAACATAATTAGGGTTATTACAAAAAGTGAAAATCTGGGCACAAAAGTTGTTGCGTTTTTTTTGAGAAAGAGGTGTGGGGGTTTTTTGCAAAAAGAATCCCCCTAAAAATGTTTTTTTTTAAAAAAATAAAATTCACCCAAAAAATCAACACTATTCAACAACACTATCAACAATACTTTCCCCAATTTTTGGAATTTCTGACCAGATGCTATTTCTGATGGATGAATTCTGGATATGTCCAGGAAATTCCAGAAGTATAGTCCTAAACATATTCAACTTTCCATCTTAATATATGTGCATGGACATAGATGCATGCACACAGATATCTGGTTCCGTGGCATGGTAAGCCAAACTACCGGGATTGTGCAAAAAAGCTGTCTCCTGGATGTTAGTCTTGTGGTCCAATCAACATCAGCGATCACCATGCAAAACCCTGGCCAATGCACTAAAACCCACTGGTTCCCAATTCTGGTTCTAATTTTGCTCAGTAGCTTCCCAGTGGACTAGGGAGTAAAGCTTACACAATAAAAAACAAAGACTCCCAATTTTAAGCAAAAATGAAGCACTCAGTTTATTAATATACAAAGCTTAATAGAATTAAATGATATGAACATGATAGTAGTTCACTCCCACTTTGCTCCTCCCTTTAATTCAGTGAGGCATGGCAGCTAAGCCAATGCGTGTCTTAGTGTGCTGTCTGAATCTGGACTCACGGTTAAGTTCTCTTCTCCTTAAGCACAAGTTCTAACCAAGAGCAAACCTTGGCTTGGTTCGTGGTTAAGGAGGAGACAGCTTAACCATGAGCCTAGGTTAGGTTTACAAGCTAAGACTAACTTTAGTTTAGCTGCCACATCACAGCTACAAAGACCCAGGAGAATTTGTGCGTTCACACTAAACTATGGCTTGACTTAGAAATATGTGCAAACGTGGTCACCCATGGAAACAAGCTCCAAAGAATTACCGTATTTTTTGCTCTGTTGGACGCAGTTTTCCCCCTCCAAAAATGGAGGGGAAATGTGTGTGCGTCCTATGGAGCCAATGCAGGCTTGTTCCATAGCCGCGCACAACCCCTCCTGCAGGGTGAGGCTGCACTGGGCTAGGGCTTCTTTAGCTCCACGCAGCCTCTCCCGGCAGGAGGGGTTGTGCAGGGCTAAAGAGGAAGCCAAAGCAGCGGGATCAACCCCTCCGGCAGGGAGAGGCTGCACGGGGCTATGGCTTCTTTAGCTCCACGCAGCCTCTCCCGGCAGGAGGGGTTGTGCGGGGCTAAAGAGGAAGCCAAAGCAGCGAGCAGGATCCATCCCACTCGCTGCCTTGGCTTTTGCCATAGCCGCGCACAACCCCTCTGGCAGGGAGAGGTTGTGTGCAGCCTGTACGCTGCTCTTTGGGGCTGGGGGGGTATTTTTTTTATTGATTTCCCCGTCTAAAAACTAGGTGCACCCTATGGTGTGAAAAATATGGTACATGTTTATGGATTAATAAGGACACATAGGAAATAAGTGTACAATGCCACTGATAATTTTAATATGAAAACTATAGAATTAGTGTAGGGCTGTGCACTTGATTAAATATTTTTCATTGGATTAACTATCAAGCAAAGGTGATGTTCAGTGAAGCAAACTTTGTCACATACTTCCTTTTTCTAAACCAGAACCCAAGCACACAGTGGGTTGCTGTACACTCTTTCCTATTGTGGGATCTTTGCTTACCCTTCATGGAACCATTTCCCAGGCCCTGGGTTAGGAAAGGGGTACACAGAGTTCAACTGTTAGCTCCTTCTGTCATCTCCTCTGACATCAATTACCTGCTGGGGAACTGAGGAGCTTATCCAGCCTTACTTCTTCTCTGTTGGGAGGAGCAGAGGAAGAAGGGACTTCAGTCTAGTTTCCCCCATGTTTCTGAAACAGTTGAAGGATGCTATCAAAGGACCAAGCACCAGAAGGACAGCTAAGTATGCCCAGAGTGTGGACTACAGTGGAACCTTGGGTTACGTACAGTCCTTCTTATGAACACTTTGGGTAACGAGCTCCACTAACCCGGAAGTAGGTCTCCTGGTAGCAACTGTCCCAGGATGCGAGCGGAAGTCGTGCGGTGGCAGTGGGAGGCCCCATTAGCAAAAGCGCACCTCAGGTTAAGAACAGTTTCGGGTTAAGAACGGACCTCTGGAATGCAGTGGCGGAGAGCAGGTTGGGGCAGGCCTGCCACGCGTCCTGGGGGTGTGGCGCCCAGTGCAGGCGGGCAGGCAGCTGCAATGGCACCCCACTGGGATTGCGCTGCTAGGGACGGTGCGCTCCCCCCTGCACTCCTCTTCCTCCGCCAGTGCCGGAACAAATTAAGTTCATAACCACTGTGCTTGAATTTAGAGCCATGCTTAGCAATATAGGTGTCTTTCTGGATAACATTGAAGTAAGGATAAAAAGAATTCATCTAATCAGGCTACAATCCTAATCCCCAATTCATACTGCTGGAGGGTTTAGGATTAAGCAGGCATCCCCACCCACCAGCCACTGCTTATCTCCATTGGCATGGGGTTCTGTCACTGCAGAGGCCTATGCTTCCAAGAGGGGAAGCATGGAAGGAGGAATGTAATGGAAATGTCCGACCATTACAAATGGAGCAATAGAGAGGAGGAGCAGAGTTGGCTATGGTACTACTGGCTACAAGGGCACTCCATTCCCAGAAAAGGAGCCAAATCCAGGTCTGTTGAGCTGCTGCAGCAAAAGAAGAAGGAGGAGGAGGAGGAGGAGGAGGAGGAGGAGGAGGAGGAGGATTGCCCTACACCAGTGTGGTGTAGTGGTTAAGAGCGATAGACTCATAATCTGGGGAACCAGGTTCGTATCTCCGCTCCTCCACATGCAGCTGCTGGGTGACCTTGGGCCAGTCACACTTCTTTGAAGTCTCTCAGCTCCACTCACCTCACAGAGTGTTTGTTGTGCGGGAGGAAGGGAAAGGAGATTGTTAGCTGCTTTGAGACTCCTTCGGGTAGTGATAAGGCGGGATATCAAATCCAAACTCCTCTTCTTCTTCTTCTTCTTCTCACCTTTGGTCCTGGCGAGAGGCTAGAAAGAGCCAGCAGGACTGCTGACGTGGTGGAGAATCTCGTACTTCATGCCTCCCTTCATGCCTCCCTAGACCCTCTTAGGACTGCTTAGCCCACAAAGCAAAGCCATTTTAAAAATAATTTCTGTTTCATTCCCTATGACACTAACACACCACAGCCCAAATAGCTTTTGAAGATAAACAAATGTGCCCTTCAAGCTCATCCCCATCAATTAATCAAAGTCAATTCACCAACCAATTAAATCCATTAAAGTCAACAGCCCCCAAATTAATATATCACACACTTCTGTCTCACTGGAAAAAAAATATATATTATACATTCATGTTGAATACAATATCTGCATGGTAGCAATTTATCATGCACAGTCCTTCATAACCACGTTGGAAGCTTTAAATAGTGCACTGTGGAAATAAAAGCTTGCGTAAGGCCAGGTTTGATGTTGATGTTCCTGTTCTCGATACTTAGAAAACGTTTTGCAAGCCGGAGAAAAGAACTTTTGCCCTTCATGTTTTCATTCCAGAACTAGAACCGACTCCGATGAACAATTTTGCAGCAAACAATAACCACTGAGCACAATGTGCTATAACGTGTCGTGTCCAAATGCCACCGTCTTTTCTTTTGTCCGTTTTATCCCTCGTTCCTTTGACACATTTTTCACGTTCATTTGATGATCTGTTCTCTTGGTGAAAACTCAGATGCATACAAAGCTCTCCTGATCCGAGTGGCTTCTTTTCAATTAAAAGAGCCAAGGTGCGCACATTTATCTGCATGCGTGGGTTGGCTCCCTTCATTGGAATGAAAGGGGACCCCTGCAGGCGCATCCGAGTGCACATTGATTTCTGGATTACACTGTTTGCTCGGTAGCAAAACTACTGACTGTACAGAGGAAGCCTGAGCATATTTGCTCAGAACACGAGTCCCACTGAGTTCAGTATGACTTGGTTAAACGTGTTTAGGAGGCTGCAATCCTATGTTCACTTACCTGCATCCAGTGGGACTTACACCTGAGTACACACACATATCAAATTACAACGTGGATTGGGGGCTGTGAACAGATACAATATTTTGAGCAGAAAGCCTTATAGCGGATCTCCACTAGTAGTCTTTGGTCAGAGTTCATTCTTCCTCAACCTGGTGCCCTACATATTGGATGCTTCTCACACACATCTGGTTGGTACAGGATGCTGGAGTAGATGGACCATTGGTACAGGATGTGAGTGCAGGATGCTAGGCTAGATGGCCATTGGCCTGATCTAGTAGGTTCTTCTTCTGTTCTTATGCTCTTAAATGTTGCTATAGGACCCGTCCACCTTAGCCTGTCTGCATGGCCAATGCCAGGGGATGATGGGAGTTGTAGACCTAAACATCTGGATGGCATCAGGACAGAGAAGGCTCTGTTAGATGTACAGAGAACTAGGCTCAGTAACAACCACTTCTTCCTGTTCCCTGTTGAAATTGGCTGTGCGGAGTGAGAAATGGGTTGGTCCTTATGATGGTCACAAAGGCACATCTCTTTCCCCCCCTCCCCCCCCTCTGCTCAGAAGCAATGAAAATAAAAAACAGAATGAAAAAGGAAAAAACCCTTCGAAAAATCTATCTGGGGCTCCCTTAGCCACAGGCATTCTGCTGTAAGGCAGCAGGTTTTAATTGCCATCTTAGATTAGATGGTCTTAAAGAAAGACAATGATTAGTGTTGCCCATTCCAATGAATAGTTTCTCCATTAACTTTTTGCAAGCATTCTGTATCCATGGCAGCAACAACTCATTCCTTTCTCTTCTGCTAGATTGAGGGGAATGCATTTTAATTAATTAATTAATCAATTAATGAATTAATTTCAGACTTGTATAAATTGCATATATAAATACCCCATCCAACGCACCACCATTCAATTACAATCTATTCATCTTAATCACATATACCCATTTACCATCCTTATTATAAATTACCCATAAAAGATAATTATCCTTTATTCTTACCTCTTTATGTAACCCAATAATTGAAGGAACTTTGCATCAAATGAGCTCACAATAAATACTTCAATTTTAATTATTTGGAAATGTAATCTAATTCATTGCTCCTAGAACAGAGCCTTTACTACAATAATTAAAGAAATTCTCCCAAGTATTCTAATAATGTGGAGCAGAATGAAGAAAGACATTGTCAAGAATGCAACCTTAAATCGGAAGCGGGTGGGGAATGCAGAGGCCAGTGTAGTGGTGCCAGTTTTCAAAAATTATTTATTATTTTCATTTATTCTCATACTCTTGGTCATCTAAGACACACATGCTCTGTAGAGATCTCTAACCGGATAGCTAGTCTAAAAGCAGAGAGGGATGGTGGAACAGGGTAATATTGAATGGCTTTCAGGGACTGGCTGGATGAGAAATGCTGGAAGGTGCTTAACCAAAAGCCTCCCAGGTAAGCCCAGAGCGAGAGGATTTCGATTCTTGCTCCTGGTGGTGGGAAACTGGCCACAACCCAGAGGAGGGGAAGAGCTGGGAAATACTGGAGGCTGGGAGCTTGAAGGATGATGAAGAGGAGGAAATTGGCAGGTGCCCCAACACAGGGAATCAGACTTGGGAGTTCTACCACAGAGCCACCCTGACAACTTCTCTGTCAACAGCCTGCAAGACAGCCTGCCGACCCACTCCCAGAACGAGGCATCTATTGTAAATTGCTGAGCAGAGAGCCAGGCAGACACAGAGAGGGTCCCTTGAGGCTTGCTGTAGACAGAGGGAGGGGCCTGATATAGAGGGCTAGGGATTGAAGAGAGAGTTACAAGCCAGTCCAGACAACTGCTTCATCTAGACAGGAGCAACCCTTAGAAGTCTCTGTGTGTCCTCTGTTCTGCTTCCTTAATAAACCAATTTTATGTTAGCCAAATGGGATCGTTCTCAGAAGGCGGTCCTTCTTGTGACTGGGCCCCTGGACACACCCCTGACTAAATTGGTTTCGTTTCTAGGTCTAAGTTTCATTTCTCTAAATAGGCATCAGGGGTCACAGCCAATCAGGAAAGGGGTGGGGGTTGTTAAGGAATTATATAAGCATCAGCGCAAGAGTGCCCTAGGCACCTGATTGGCGCTGCTGAACACCCACCCTTAGTGTAGGTTCTCGGCCTTGCTTTGGACAATGTTTGAGTCGCTTGTCTTGGGACAGGGGCCGGGTAGGAATGTTTATCCATTTGGCAAATTGGCACTGGCCACTTGGTTTTTTGCCTATCCCCTTAGCAACCATCACACCTTTCCAGATTTGGTGGTTAGGCATTGGCTTAATTTTGTGTGTGGAGGGGAGGTGTGGCCATTACCTGC